CAGCCTCACGCATTCCTGACTTGAGTTTTCCTCTAAGCTGTGGACGGTGCCGGTGCACACACGTCCGAAGTGACCACGGTAAAACGCTCGTGACTGGAGGAACTACCCGAACCACGTCATAACCTATGGACCTTGTCAGAGGTGGGGCGTTTAAACTTCTCCTGTTCCCCTTCTGATAGGAACAGGGTTATTGTTGTGGTCACTGAATACAGAGCAAAGGAACATGTGAGGAGAGGAGACAGGAGCCACAAAACAAGGAAGAGATGAGGATTCTGGGTGGCTCACGCCATCCCCGTGTCAGTCTCTCTCTACTGCAGCCGAGGTACGGGTAGGGGGAGACGAAGGGGAGAAATGCTGAGGGGCCCTCCAAGTCAGAGGTAGGCTATCTGGGAGTCTCAAGAGGCCCAAACCAACCAGATGTGTTTCAGACGGATGAGAACCTGGGTCCCTGGAGCGTAGGACATACTTATCTAGAGAAGGTTTCATCACCACACCAACAGATACACACTCAGGGCGTAACGCACAACAAAATGTTCCAGGGAAGGACTTCACTGGAATTTCCCAGCAAGGGTTCATAAATTAGACACACAAAAAATAACACAAGATTCACATTTCCAAACTATCCACACAGAACACCTAGAAGGGGTTAATTAGGGGGTTGGAAGGGCAGCACCCCAGCCAAACGGATCGTGCTGTTATCCAAGACCTCCAAGTGCCTTCCAAAGTGTTTGGCAACATGCACGCAGACGTGGTGGAGTGGGTGACAGAAGTCGTCCTCTCCAGCTGGACAGAGACAGTACCATTCAGTTCACTTCTTCTGAAACTGAAGAGTCCAGCAGCCTAGATCTAGGGAGAGGAGTGCAAGTATCAATGACTTTAATTTTTTTCACGGTAGAGACATGGAGGGACCCTAAATGTCAGAATATCCCTCTATTTTCCTGTCCTTTTGTCTAGCCCCAGTGGTTTTGTAAGCGTCCCTCCAGAAAGGCCCAGAGATTTTACCTTTTTCCATGATACACTCTTGAACACTGAACTAGACCGTAGGATTTTCGGAGGGGTGGGAGGGAGCGCCGCATTTTCAGCAAGATAATTCTTCGCGGTGTGTAACTGACACAAGCCCTGCACAATGCTGGCACAACGAGCCCTTACCCGGAAAAGGCCAGGGGTAACAGTAAAAGCCAGGAGCCCACACCTCCAAATGTCTCCTAAGAGAGACGGTACCATTTCCAGCTCAAAACAACTGAGCAGTAGCTCATGGTCATGAAATACCCTTACAAAATAACACTGGTTAAAAATAACTGTTTCCTGATACCCGGCTACTCAAGAAGGCTCCCACTCCCCAACTCTTCTAAAGAGCAGACTCGGGGTTGGTATTATGTGTCTTCAACCCTCAGTAGTAAGCAGACATTTCTCTCACAAGCTCTTCACCTGGTAGGGAGAGTCAACGAACTTTATCCTAGAGAGGAATCTTCGCAGCTCCCCGCGGCCAATTTTGGGGGCCGTCTCCTTTAGCTGGACCACTTGGCCCTCCATCAGTGCCCACCGCAGACTAAGCTTGCTGACCACCAGGGGTGCTGGATGCCCTTCAGAGCTTGGCCCTGTTGTCCTGGTAACATAAAAGGCATCTTTCCAGAGGTCGTTGATCCCAACTGAGGAAAGACAAAAACAAGAGCAGTTAACAAGGACGGAAGACTTCAGCTAACAGGAGAGTGGTTTGGTTCGGCAACTGGATTCATTCACTCATTTCCTCCTTCGCTAATTCACAGAAGAAGCTTACTGAGCACCTAATCAATGCAAGGCACTGACTAGACAATGGGCGCCCAGGGGTGCAAAGCAGCAAATTCTCAGCCTCTGTACCGGTGCTTCTCCGAAGAGAAGAAAGCCCCAGATCAGGAAGTGAGAGGAATGGCCAACTGTGGCGACAACTTGGTAGAAAAGTGAGTACAACAAACCAGAAATTCTGAGAATTCCTAGACTGTCAGTACCTGGGGGCATAAGCTATGTACACAGCCAGTGTTTATTTCGCCTCATCTATAAACCAGGTATTGTAATAAAAAAGGTCTTGATTCTTAATTACCATTACGTAACGTTCACTGAATAACAATTTATGCTACTATTGAAAAAGAGGTCATTTAGATCCAGTCACAGGATTTTGCAAACTCACACCTCCCCACCGCAGCCCTGCTGCACACAAAGCCAGTGGGCAGGGGTACTTGCAAGTTCCAGATGAGCTGTTCTTCCCAGTGCAGCCCAGTGGGCCCAGAGTCACAGCAGCAACCTCACCTTCAAGGCAAACGAGTTTGTAAGGAGACAGCAAGTCTCTGAATGGCAAGGGAATATGGAAAAGAAGTAAAGAAAGGAACCATGGCCGGCCTGGCCGGCCCCAGCAGGACTGCAGACTCCCAGAGGCCAGTGTGGGACGGGACCCTCCAAGGAAGGGACCATCGGACGATCCCAGACCAGCTGCAGTGGCCGACTTTCCAGGGATTTGCATTACAGGTCTCTAATATGTGATCCCAGTTTTGCTCTGTGATATTATTTAGATGCACATATAAAGTAGAACACTTCCAAATGTTAATGGCGGTTATGAGTGGTCAGATTACGGGTGATTTTTCTTTTTCCCTTTTTTCTCCTGGCACCAGTTTCTATGCGATGGTCATGTGCACTTCAGTCCAAAGAAAGTCTCTACTGAGCCTAAACGAATGCCCTGAGGAAACATCCTGCCTCTGCTTTATCCTTTGCAGTGAATTCCAGGTCCTAAGTTTCTACAAGGTCGAGAAACTAGTCTGATTTGTATTCCCAGCACCGGGCACAGCGCCTGGTGTATGGCTGATGCTCAGTAAACATCTGCTGAAACATTAGCTCCGTGGACCCTTGGGGATGGGATAACACTGCCCCGCAGCTTCCAGCATGTTTGGAGGCTGTGGGCCCTCACCCCGTGAGCCGGGTGCTGGGAGGGCACACTCAGGCGACGGCCCCGGGGAACCAGGGCCACCAGGGGAAATGCATGGGAGCAGCTCGGCACATTCGTCCTGCTGTCGTCCGCAGGCACACACCCTCCCCTTGGTGGGACGATGGTATCACCCTCACCACGGCCAGTACATCCCCTCCCCTGCTCTGTGAACACAGACCCCACCGTCCCTGGGACTTACCCTCTGAAGCCGTCACGGTGCCGGTGGCATTGGCCAGATCCAGAAGAATGGAGGGGAAGGCTGGATGCAGGAGGTACAGGTGGTGAAGGCTGGGTGGCTCGGTTCCTAGGACGACATCCTGACAACAAGCAACAGTGAGAGCAAAGGTCAGTCCACACACCGGCGTATGATGTCACTCAGATGAAAGGGTGGTGGAGATGGTGGTGATTACTCATCCCCTGCGATCCCAACTATGAGGGTGTGTTGAGAGAAACTCCCACATATGAGAGACATGTCATTTCCAAGAGCTGAAAACACTGATTAAACACTAACTTCAAACCACTAGAGCTAGAAAATGCTTTCTCGCTTATAAGAAAAAGAAAGGAAGAAAGGAAATGGGCATGCCCCAGGAGAGAAACTGATGGGGGCCCTCGCAGTCTGGTGCCAACGGAGTATTAGGAAGAGGTTCTTCCCTGACAGCAGGCAGGGGTCTACGTGGAGGCAAAATCTGCATATTAAAAAAATATATATTGAGCCAAAGACATTTGCTTTCACTGGATATTGAAGCCAGTCGCAAGAGTCAGGCTAAAAAGAATCACAAAAATCTTATCTGTTCCTGAAATAAACAGGAATGGACCAAACAGAACTCACTAATCGTAAAATAAAAATTCCAAGGCCTGAGTGTCAACCTTCTGACCCCGACGGCAGAAAAAAATGCACATCAGGGACTTCCCTGATGGCGCAGTGGTTGAGAATCCGCCTGCCCGTGCAAGGGACATGGGTTCGAGCCCTGGTCCGGGAAGATCCCACATGCCGCGGAGCAACTAAGCCCATGTGCCACAACTACTGAGCCTGCGCTCTAGAGCCCGTGAGTCACAACTACTGAGCCCACGAGCCACAGCTACTGAAGGCCGCGCGCCTAGAGCCTGTGCTCCGCAACAAGAGAAGCCACCACTCGACACAACTGAAGTGAGTGTCAGCCCTGCTTCCACACTGTCAGCAGGGGAGGGGACACGTGTGCGGGAAGCTCGCGGTGCGCTCCCACCACTGTCACAGAGCAGGAGAGGGCTTTCCCACACACCTCAGTATCCCAGCACCGGCTCAGCTAACATGACAAGAAAATAGCCCAACTCCCTCCTCACTGGCTACGGCATGGTGCCCAAACTCCTTAGCGTGAAAACCAAGGTCTTATGCCTTTCAACCCCAATCTGCCTTCCTTGGCCTCCTACGATTATATGCCTATGCACCCCACGCTCTAAGAACATCTGTGAAACAAACACATGCTTCACTTGACTTTACCTGACCTTGGCCAATCTTATTTCCCCCTTAGACGTCTTCCTCGTGAGCCCATTTCCACACATTAAAACACTTCTTGTCTGGAGGTCCCCAACTTGATGCCACCTCTTTCAAGAAAAGCTCCCTAATCACCCCCAACAAAATGACTAACCCCCTCCCTTTGTGCTTCCATCTAAACTTCCTATGTGCACCTCTATTACAGCATTGGTAATATGCCTTTGTTTTGTGGTCATTTATAGACACTTACATTTGAGAGTCATCTGATCCAAGCCCCTCATTTTATTAAAGGAGGAAACCAGGAAGTTAAATGTTAGGTAGATTGCCCACATTCACATGTCAGGAAACTGCAGAGTTAGGACAACCATTTACGGAAATCTGATCCGAAAGCGAGGGACCACATTAGCATCTTCATTAACGGATAAAGAGCATGAGACTCAAAAAATTTAAGTCCTAGAGCACAGGGCTAATGAACGCAGGACTCTCCCTCTGTCAGGCTACCCGATCGCCAGGGACCGTCCGTCTTCTCCTGCAGAGGGCAGCACTGTTCCTAGTTTACCCCGAGGTCCCTGGCACACAGTAGGTGCTGGTCAGCTGTGTTTAACTGGACTAAATCAGGGTGAGTCTTACTCAAAATCCCCAGGCACCTTGTAGAGGTGGCCCCGTGCCTCCTCAACCCCGTTAAAGTGCTGCAGGACAGCATTTTCGACATTCTCAAACCTGCCTTCCGTGTATCGGAGCTTCTCTCCCGTGATCCCCCAGGTGAACCCTCACCTTCAGCCCAGCGTCCCCCCGCCCCTGCTTTGCCACCCTGCGGCCCCACCCATTTCCGAAATCTCAGCTTATTCACCTCAAAGCCCAGCCTCAGCCCCCATGAAACCCTCCCTGCCCACTGCAGACCAGGCATGGCAGCCCCGAGAGCTGCTGCCATCTGACAAAGTGACAGAGGGACCCTCCCAGGCTCACTCACAGGATTGGGCGATGCAGCTGACAGCCCTTCAGCCCAGAAGAGGAAGACAGACTTCTGGTCCACAGCGGCTGCTGAGGTGGCCGGAGTTTCTTCCATGTGACACGGAATGCTGTAACTCCATGCGACCATTCCAGAGTCCCCATCCACCACCATCACCTGCAAAAGAGAAGACGGTGAGCACAGGCCATCCTCAGAGAGACAGCTGAAAACACACGCGCACCCAAACAAAAACCCATGGACATGCAAATACCACATACATTAACAGGCGGAGCTTACCAGATGCAAACAATGGGGTGTTCAGAGAGCGCTGAATAGCAGCTAGGCCCAGGACCCTAGATAGAGTCTAAAGGACTGCAGCCTTCCCAGGTGAGAAGGGACATTATAAGTCATCTAGGCCTCCTCGCGTCCTCAGATGAGGGGATGGAGGCTCAGGGACAGGGAGTGACGCTGATTATTCTGCGTTTGGGACAGTCCTGGACGGAGCAGCCATCCCACCGTGGAGGGGCTGAAACCCGACCCTCATCCCTTCCCTCCAGCGATGCAGCTGCCACGATTGAACATGATTCGGCTACAGCTCTGTCCCGTCCCCTGGGCTAAAAGCTTTACAAGTTTGACTCTGGCAGGTGCAGCTCAGCCCAAAGGGAGTCTCAAATTTAAAAGAGCATAGTCTGAACAGGCACAAAAACATAAAATTAAGAGAAAAATTCACTCCTCAGTTGCATCTCTCAAGGGATAATTAAAGGGATTAGATTTATAATCCCCAGCAACACTTGTATCTCCTGTCACCCCAAATACCTCACACTGCACAGTTCTAGAACAAAACAGCCTCTCCTTTGCCAAAATCCCCAAGAAACTCCCCCATCACCTCCAGCCCCAGCATCTCCCTGGCCTCTCTCCTCAGTGTCTGCCCTGCACCTCCTTCGACAGTCCCTTCCCTGTGCCCCCAGTGTCGTGGGCCTGCCGTTCTCTGCTCAGGATCAGACTCCGCTTCACCGAGAGCAAGCAGAGGGGAAGCAGGCTAGCAGTCCAAGATTCCCTTCATTAGTGCCGGGGAGAAAAGAAGTCTAGAGACACTGCACTAAAACACTTTAGCCAGTGACACATATTATTCCATTTAACCGTCACGACAACCCCATGAAGGCAAGTGCTCTTATTACTCCCGTTTCACAGATGCAGACACTACAGCTCGGTGAGACTGTGTCATCTGCCCATGGTCACCAATGAGTAGTGGAGTCAGGGACTAAAACCCAAGCCTAAACCCTCAGCATCTCAGCTCTAAACCAACCCATATGTACCCTTCCTCGTTCATCCTGCTGGGAGGGCCAACAGACATTTCAGTCTCTACCTGAATTATCTTTTTTTTTTTTTTGCAGTATGCGGGCCTCTCACTGTTGTGGCCTCTCCCGTTGCGGAGCACAGGCTCCGGATGCACAGGCTCAGCGGCCATGGCTCACGAGCCCAGCCGCTCCGCGGCATGTGGGATCTTCCCGGACCGCGGCACGAACCCGTGTCCCCTGCATCGGCAGGCAGACTCTCAACCACTGCGCCACCAGGGAAGCCCTACCTGAATTATCTTTGAAACACACTCAGACACTGCTTCCTTCCTGTCTAGCACTGCTGGAAGACTCTCCCCAAAGTGGTACTTGTGTCCTCGGATCTGTCCCCTACTCATGACTAAATAACCCTAGGCTCTACGCCTCATCTGAATTCTGCAGCCTGGCTTTCAGGCCCTCCAGCAGCTGAGCGCGTCCTGACCACTCTGTTAGGAAGGCCCCTCTGCCCAGCCTCCTATATCCATCGGGCAAACCTCTTCTCTGTTCTCGTGACTCTGCACATCTAATGCCCAAATGACGGGAAGCATCTCTTGACACACTTCCCTCCATCTGCTCCCCACGTCCCTGTGGCATCGTGCGAACTTCCGTTCCAGCACTTACCACGACATCCGAGGTACAGGCACCCCGGTGACTGAGCCACACGAGGCAGTGGCTTGCTCTCATTGATGCTGTGTCTCCACAGCCATCATCTGCGCACCTGGCACAGAACCTGGCATACATGAGAGGCAATGATTAAGTGTTTGTTGAAGTCACTCTCAGGGAACAGGGTACAATCGTATATAAATACATATTTCATGCTGAAGATAAACCAAAACGCTCAGTCGATTATAAAAAAAAAAGACATTTTAAAAACTCGAATTCTGCCTGTAATGTTAAAGGAATGAAAACTGTCTATCCAGTCATTAAATCCTCACAATGTACAACCTGACACAAAATCAGAATAACCTATGTGTGTCCTTGGAACACACCCTACCGTCTATCTCAGGGAGCTGGAGCCCCTGCCCCTGCCTGCCTGCCTGCCTGCCCACCCTCCTCCAGAAACGCAGTTCAGCTGCAAGGCTCTGCTCACCTTTCCCGCCTTTATGAAGTCCTCCGTAACAGCCTAGCCACCCCGGCTTGCCCACCTTCTGTGAAATCTAGGAGTATATGTGTCCTGGAGTATTACATTTATTTATACCTGCCTCTCCCCATCAAGAGGCTTCAGAAGGCTCCTGTACATTGAGAATCCAGAATGAACTCCTGCATAGAAGGAGGGCAGCTAGAAAAGCTTCTGATGCTGCGGAGTTTAGCACTGCATTGTGACTTTTCATTTTATCCATTCTGCTAGACTTGGAGCTCTTTGAAGGAAGAGACCACGTTTTAGGTTCTTTTTATTTCTCACGATGCCTAGCGCAGGGCTGGACACCAAGTTTATACTGGATATATGTTTTGACTGATCTTGAGTCCCCAGGTTTTACCTTTTTCAGCCCAGCTCCATTCGGTATCTGCAGAAGGAAGTCCAGCGTCTCATCATCCGTGAAATACCCAGGAGTAGGCCGGCTGCGGGTTAGAACAACGTGAGTGATCAGGAGTGAGGGAGGAAAAGAGGAGAGAGCCTAATTCCTTCCCCCCACCTTGCACTAGCCCCAGCTATCAAGCAACCATTCTGCGTGATTTTGAAACGTGGGCAAGTGGAACAAAAAGCGGACATGAGGAGCACACTGCCAACCTGCGCAGGCCTTGGAGGCTCAGGGTCCAGGAAGGTGTGAGATTTTGCCCCTGAAGCAGGACAAGGCCTCGTCTGGTTGTGATCAGGAGGTTGCTACTGTTGGAATCCGGCACCTTCACCGTCTGGAGGATCTCCACCCCATCACTGAGTTAAACAAGACCCCGACAGTTAGTCTCAGGCTTGGACGAGATTCCTGCCCTGCTTATTTGGGCTTTTCCTCTAGGCGTACATGTTTGTATAGACCCTTGCGTTTGTCTCCCACCAGTGTCTTGTCAGGCAGGGCATTCTGTCATTCCAGTTGAATCTCCTTTTCCTGGTTTCTTTAGAAACCAAGGAGCCCTAGAAAACTCAGGCAAGTTCAGAAGGAACCGACAGGAGAAGTGCATCTCACACTGGATGCTCTGCGAAAGATAACAGAGCTGAGGACAGTGGCAGGGAAGGAGCCAGAGGTCGGGACAGGACGCTTGAAACTGTCATTAAGCTCGGACAGCTGCTCACGCTGTACGCTGCATCCAATTACTTCTCCCTCTGTACAACCAGGACCACTCTACGTAACGTCTGCCAAATGCACTGACACAATGTGATACTGCCTGGGAAAATGCTAGAAAATGATTTGAAGCTTCTGGGAGGAAAAGAACGAAGACAATTATTACCCAGGCCTGGGGTGAAATGAGTAAAATCCACAGTAGATAACAAACAACATGCTTTTAGTTAAGAAATAAACAAGAAAAAAAAATAAGATTTCATGGATGCTGCCCTTGCTTCTGCCAAAGTGATTCTTCAACTAAGAGAAAAATACGGGTGAAGGGTAAGGCCGATCCTTCAGCAGTTTTACAAGCAGTCGTGTGAAATAAATCTATCTCCCTGCCTGCGGTTCCCCAGTCTCACCCTGCCCTGCTCTGACTGCCACGCCAAACAAATATCCTTCTTGATCCCACGCCATGGTCACCCACACGTAGACGTCAAGGCTTTATGTCACCAAGAGAAGAGCACTTGTAACTCCCCTTAACCAGGTCAGAAGGTGGTATATGAAGGCCAGCACTGTTTTCCCCCCAAACGTCTGCCCACGTGTTCACCAGCCCAACCAGACAATGACTTGGTTTCACTGTGACGGGGCCAGACGGCTGCCCACCTGTAAATGTCAAGGAGCTCAGACAGGTTGACGGATCTCCGCCTCTCCCACTCGGGCTCGTCTATCTGCAGGGAAGGTGGTAAGCTGTCTCGATTTTGGGCCTGAACAAAAATGTCCCGCAGGGCGACAGCCTGGATATTTCCTAGCAGCACAGAAGAACCAACACGGAGAAGGTGAACTTTACAGCATTTTCCCGGGGTGAGGATGGGAGTGAGAGACCCAGAGCCTGGGCAGGTGGATGGCTCCAACACAGCCCGCCCGGCCCAGCAGGGAACGAGAGGGGAAGTGCTTAAGTGGACGCTGGGCAGAGCTTCTCATTGGATAAGAGTGAATGCCCCGCGGCAGGGGGCCCGGGCAGAGGAGGTGACAGAGGGCTGGTGTCAGTGACTCCAGGCTTTCTGACTCCAGGCTTTCTCTACGGCACACAGGGAGGCCTCACCATACACCCATGGGGACAGGAGCAAAAATGAGCCTTGCTTCTTACCAAAACCAAACAGGATGTAGGCAGCCCCGCTGGTGGTGATGTAAACCTGAGGGCCGATCAGGTTCCCCACTCCGACGACGTTGTACTTTACGGGTCGGCCCACGGGACTCCCTGTCCGGCCAGACACCAGCAGAAAGCACAGATCTGGCTGACGAAGTGAAAGACAGGTGTTGAATCCATAGAAGCCTTATCGTTTCTGAATCAAACCGTTTCTCTAGATAGTCATTGCTTGCTCATTAGCTAAGAGGTCAGAAACACCTCCCAAAGTTGGAAAACCCAAAGCCAAGCCCACTTCGTTCTATTTCCCTGGAAGTTAGAAAGTGGGGCAAATGCCCCATTCCCTTGTTAGATGGTAGCTCGGGCAAGTTCTCCAAAGCACAGTTGTTGCTGACAAGCAGTCTCCTGAGGCAAAGAACTCTAGCCTAGAGCTAAACAGAGTACAGCCGACCCCGGGTCTCTACGCCCATACCCAGAAATCCCCAGTAACATTTGGTCCCAGGTGAATCAGCACAGGCAGTGTGCTCCCATCATGACATACACATCTGGCCTGGCCACTATCAACCTCACTATCAAGCAGAGATCAGCAAACCTTTTCTGTGAAGTGCCAGACAGTAAATATTTTACGTTTTGCCAGCCAGATGGTTTCCGTAGCAGCTACTCTACTCTGCCACTCTAGCGTGAGAGCAGCCATAGATAATACATGAATGAGCAGGCGTGACTGCGTCCCAATAAAACTTTATGAAAACAAACTGCAGGCCATAGTTTGCCCACCCCTGCGCTAGAGGATTTTCTTTTGGGAATAGAGTCACTGGTTGGGAAGTGTAAGGACTACATCGATATCTTGACTGCAGTAAAGCTTTTGACAGAGTTTATCATCATGAATTCTTATGGGCAAGATAAAGAAATGTGGTTCTCAGTGTACCCCGAGAGAGGGCCAATGCCAACCGAGAGGGAGGTTTCAGTGGAATGTCAGAGCACCCCGCTATTATCTCATTCCTAGTAATCATTCTTATCAAAGACCTGAATGAATAGAATTCAAGTTTATCACAAAGCTGAGAGCGATACAGGTAATATGCTGTTTTGACAGACTCCAAATTCCAAAAAGTCTTAGACTGGAAGATGGATCAAAATCTGGAAGAAAAGATTGGGCCATTAATTAAGATGTGGGTATTTTATGGTAACAAGACTTATCGTGGTGATCATTTTGAAATGTACAGAAATATCAAATCAGTAAGTTGTTCACCAGGAACTAACAGAGTGCTGTAGGTCAGTTATACTTCAAAAACAAATAAACTCATAGAAAAAGAGATCAGATTTGTGGTTACTAGAGGGAGGGATGGTAGGAGGGAGGATTGGATGAAGGCGGTCAAAAGGTACAAACTTCCACTTATAAGATAAATAAGTACTAGGGATATAATGCACAACATGATAAACATAATTAACACTGCTGTACATTATATACAAAAGTTAAGAGAGTCAATCCTAAGAGTTCTCATCACAAGGAAAAATTTTTTTCTATTTCTTTAATTTTGTATCAATACGAGATGATGGATGTTCACTAAACTTACTGTGGTCACCATTTCATGATGTACGTAAGTCAGATCATTGTGCTGTACACCTTAAACTTATACAGTGCTGTATGCCAATTATAGCTCAATAAAACTGGAAGGAAAAAAAATGAAAGAAGTAGGGAAAAAAGCCGTGGGTATTTTAACGGGTTATAAACAAAAACTGATTCTTAGAAAGACTATCACAGCCTTTGGCTGCATTTATAGATATACAGAATCTATATCAAAAGAAGCAACAATTTCCTTATGTTGATATAACTGGTTATGTTACAAATAGAATACTGTTTTCATTTATGGGTACCATATTATAAAAGAGATACGGACAAAGTGTAGTGAAAAAAGAAAGAAATCAAGAAAGAGAGGGGTCTGGATCATTTTGCATGAGGCACAGTGTGAGAAATTGGGACTGTTTAGCCTTGAGAGTAGCAGGCTTTAGAGGGACCAGGCTTCCAGCAAAAGGGCTTTCATGTAGAAAGAGGATTAGATTCAGAGTATTCTATGGAGCTGAAGCCGGCACCATGAATGGAAGCTATGAGAAAGCAGATTTCTCACTAATAAAGAATTTTCTAGAGTGGGCCAAGAACAAAATGGACTGTCTCACAAATTAGCACTATTGCCATCAGCCTGAGGACTCAGAGGGAATGGGTGCCAGTGTATTTGGAACAGTGTATCAGCGAGTGTAGCACAGCGTGAGAGGGTTAACTTCACGGCCTCTAAGGTCCCTTCCCACTGACAAGCTAGCCCAGATCTGTTCTCTAACCCCAACCAGGTCCAGGTGTCCCAAGCCCACCTCACTCCAGCCCCAGATCTAAGAATGCCACCCCTCTATATCATAGACCTAATACGTCTCATTCCTCCTTCCACATCTGCAGCTCAGAGTTCTTTTTTGCTGGTATAGAGGTCAGAAAAGTCAGTATGAAGATGACGCTACTGCTCTGAACCCACCACTTCTCCAAGATTTTTCTAGTCTTGCCTATCACTTTCCAGGCAGAATGGAGACTAGTCCATATCCCTCCCTCCACCACCATATCCCCTCCCTCCACCACCAAAAAAGGCACAGAGTAGAAGCAGGTGAGAAGCCATTCCTGTAACAGAGCCCCCTTGCTAGGGAGGGTCCCTCAGTCAGACCTGAACTGTCATCCCGCCCCCCACCGCTGGCTAGAAGAGAGATGTGATGTCAAGGCCAAGATTTTTAAAATTGTTCGGGACACATAAACCCGTTCACTGTCTTGCTATGCTTCTGCTAACAACCATAATTCCTTTAAAAAGAAACTCCCCTATTTGTAGTGAGGTGGATGGACCTAGAGTCTGTCATACAGAGTGAAGTAAGTCAGAAAGAGAAAAACAAATACCGTATGCTAACACATATATATGGAATTTAAGAAAAAAAGGTTCTGAAGAACCTAGGGGCAGGACAGGAATAAAGACACAGATGTAGAGAATGGACTTGAGGACACGGGGAGGGGGAAGGGTAAGCTGGGACGAAGTGAGAGAGTGGCATGGACATATATACACTACCAAATGTAAAATAGACAGCTAGTGGGAAGCAGCCGCATAGCACAGGGAGATCAGCTCGGTGCTTTGTGACCACCTAGAGGGGCGGGATAGGGAGGGTGGGAGGGAGGCGCAAGAGGGAGGGGATATGGGGATATATGTATA